TTTTAGACAACAAACTCAGAACCTAAACCTTTGAAATGTTTGAACGAGAACTAGGAGACTGGTGTTGAACGAGAACTAGGAGACTGGACTACCCTTTTCTGGTTTATAACCCTATGAACTGCCTGAAAACCCTGACTGTCTAAGACTAACAATATAAGTTAGTGAAAAGTCATCCACCAAAATACCAGCCTGGTGCAACTGATCAACTTTATGCTCATTAAGTCCAAATGTCTATTGACACATACTGCTTAAAATCCTGAACCTAAACCTAGTGCTTCAAACTTGTCAAAATCATCATTGACCTCTTTAGAAGTACACCACCTTTTCTAAAAAAGTTTCCTTCTCCCTAGCAAGCTCAACAAAAGCAATACCATCCCTTTTCTTAGCAGACCTAAGCTTTTGCCTGAAAGCTTCAAGAACCAATTGATAGCCTTCAACACTGCGGACTTAACAGTCTGATATTCAGAACTCCCATCAATAGGTGAGGTGAGGTGGGATTGGGTTTAACGTCGTGCTTTAGAATATTTCGCTCATATGACGACGTGCATGCACATGTATGTGTGTGTGCGGCTGCTTGTACTAGCCCAGACTTAAGCTGGTTTTATAGTGCTAGCCCACTGAGATACCATGCCACAATGAAGCATGAATACCTCACTCAGGCACATTATACTAACTCCGAGCCAACCAGTCCTTGTTGTACCCATTAATGCCGAGCGCCAGGCAGGGACCAACAAGTACCATATTTTAACGTCTTTTGGTATGACGTGGTCGGGGATCGAACCCGCTACCTTCCGCTCTCCGGGCGGACACTCTAACCACTACATCACAGAGGCGGTCCCCATCAATAAGTTATGCAGAATGAGCTAATTCCCTGAATACACATTGCAACATTGTCCACTGATTTTCTGGGCATTTCTAATTGTTAGAAATCTGTTTAAAATGCAAGAAAACCTTTTCATCATCATGCTCAGAGAAATTTGCCTTGAGAGATCAAATTACCTATCACCTGTTGAGGTACTGTGAGAGGGATCAGTTTGTAATTCAAGTTGTTTCAGTTTAATTTCTTTAAATTATGTACGACTTGGAATATCTTAAGAACCGTTGATTAGATTTTTTTCATATTTAGTACCTAGGTTCATCACAGTATAAGAAAGGCCCCAGTCAGGTTTGGTGACCCCTTCATTTCAATCAGGGACTTTAACATTTTACTCTTGTCAGCGAGATATCACAAGAACCGTTTACTAAATTTTCTTCATATTCAACACCAAGCTTTATCTAGGGAAGGCGCAGGGCCCAGTCGATTTTGATGACCTTCACTTAATTTTCAAGGTCATGGTGACACTTTGAAGATGTCAGCATATTAACCTGCATGTTATGCTTGTCAGCGAGATACCTCAAGAACCATTAACTGGATTTTCTTCTTATTTGACACCAAGCTTCATCCAGGGAAGGCTCAGGGCCCATTCGATTTTGGTGACCTTACCTTAATTTTCAAGGTCACTTTGAAGATTTCATCATGTTAAATTGCATGTTAAGATAGTCAGCAAGATATCGCAAAAACCATTCACTGGAGTTTTTTCATATTTGACACCAAGCTTCATCTAATGAAGGTGCAGGGCCCAGTCAATTTTGGTGACCTTCACATAATTTTCAAGGTCACTGCCACACTTTGAAGATTTCAGCATGTTAACCTGAATTCACTGGATTTTCTTCATAGACTTTCAAACTTCCCTTGAATGTTTTTCAATAAGCAATTTCTTTAGTACCATTTCTGCATATATCATACACTATGACATTCATGTCAAGGTCAAAGTCAGTCTTAAAAATATTTGTGTGTTTGAACAACTAAAGAGCAATAGATGTTGACATTTAACTTTCATTACTTTTTAAGTTTGATTTGCCGTGGAGATTATGTCACCTTAGTGACAATGCTTGTTCAACTTCCAATTGTCTTATCCTTAATTCACTTTCCTCCTTTTCTTTTTCTGCTTCCTATCACATTTTTTTTCTTCTCAATTTCAATTTCTTTAGGCCAAATTTCCACTTCTAATTTTCTTCAGAGCCAAAATATCAGTCTTTTACTCAATTAAGTCCAAAGAAATATCCTCCAAAATGTCTTCCTGAACCAGGAATGGGATAAAAATCTTTGCAACATCGATCTTAAGCATACCAAATTTGATGTCAAATTTGGCCAATTCAACCAGTCAAGACATTTTGAGCACTGACATCTGTGCTGTAGAAAGTAGCCTAACAATTTAGTTTACATTAAACACTATATTGATTGTTGGTTTCTCTCAGTTTCAAATAATAAAATTTCAATTCAGAAATTTTGACAATTAAGTTTGTGATGTATTGAATTTCTGTTGTGGATGAGCGTCCAATTTCGGTCAATAAACAGGTGTAAAACCAGCAAACAGGAAAGAAATATGATATAATTAACAAATGCATTCTAAAATTGATTACATTTTCAAATCAATACAAAGGTATCAATGTGGCAGTACAAATTCAGAGGCAGTATAATTCAAGAGAAGTGATTAGATCAATCGAGATATTAATGGTAAGATTCACTCTCCAGCAATAGTACTCCAACTTGCAACTATAGCAAGCACTCTTGTCTTAATATAGCACAAAACTGCCCCTCACTGACCACTGACTCTACAGTCCGTTTGAGTCAGAAACAGGCCGATGAATTGCAAATTTTATCATTGTACATAATTGCCACATAAATATAAATAGTACACATGTTTATCATTTACTAATACCCAACAGCTTTCTTATATTTGAAAATTTTCTGGACTCCACCAAAACAGTTGTTTAAGAAACTATCATCATTGAAAACGCAAAAGTTGTTATCTGTCACGGCAGGGTGAAACCACAGAAACGGAACAGCCAGTCATGGCGGGGACATCTCAAAATCTATTCCGGGAGACCTGTCGGTTCCTCGTCCGTCGTAGTGTCATAGTCACGACTTAAAGGGATGACAAGTGGTGCCACAGTTGCCTGTTGTAAGCCATCCCAAGACCAGTAACCTTGTTCAATGATGTTAGCTACCTTGTTGACACAGTTTCAGTCGTGATTTTGTTAAGGGATTCCTTAACCAAAACCTCTACGTCACTTAATCTTAAAGTTGGGTTTTATCTGGCAACATCTCCTTTGACAATACCCAATATCATACCACCCAAAAAGTTGTTTAAGAAACTATCATCATTGAAAACGCAAAAGTTGTTATCTGTCGCGGCGGGGTGAAACTGCAGAAACGGAACAGCCACTATCTCGTCGTGCACGGGATACACATGCCTGATGAAAAATGAAGTTGAATGCTGACGTGAAACAGTTGATGATTAAAGTGTACGATTTTTTCCGTGCTGAAGCCAAAAGGGGCAAACCATTTTATGCCATTAATAAATTCTGTAAGCGGGCAGCAAAAGCTTTAGGAGTATCAGCAAGGGTACTGACAAATGTTCTGGAACACAAACATTGTGAGGGTGATGCGAAGCAGGTAGGGGTCGTGTCAAAATCACACAAATTAAAACATTTGGACAACTTTCAAAAGAACCTTGTAAGGCAGTCTATCAACAAGCTCTATTCTGAAAACAAATACATGTCGCTGTAAATTGTAAAAAAGCATTTGAAGCAAAAACACAACCTCAGAGTATCAAAGTACACACTCTGGTGACTTTTACACTCTTCCGGCTATCGTTATGAGAAAATTCGGGGGAGAATAGGCCAGTACTCTGTGAACAGCCCTGATATCGTTAAGCTTGAGAAATAATTTTCTCAGGGTTATAAAGAAGAAGCGCGTAGGAAGGGTTCGAGCCAGTGTACTTGGACGAGACCTTGGTCAATGCCTCGCACACTGCCAGCAGTCAGTGGGTACCCGATGGGGTGATAAGGGGTCACGTAGAAAGCTGCCTCTAGGGAAAGGAGAGAGACTAATCATTCTCCATGCTGGTTGCTCCAGCAAAGGCTTTCTCCCAGGCTGCGACTTGGTATTCAAGGCAAAGTCCACAGATAACAGAGACTACCATTCCGAGATGAATGGTGCGGTTTTCCTCGATTGGGTTAAAAACAAGTTGGTACCAGCTCTACCAGAGAAGTCTTTTATCGTAATGGACAATGCCCCATACCACAGCGTGCAGGACCCCGACAGTAAAGCCCCGACATCGAACAGTCGAAAAGGTGATATGATATCATGGCTCGACAAATTTCAGATCGCACGGCCTTCAAAGGCAACGAAGCCTCAGCTATATGAGATCATAAAACCCCACAAAGGTGAACCTTTCTACAAAGTTGACAGTTACATAAAAAGTTTAAGATTAAGTGACGTAGAGGTTTTGGTTAAGGAATCCCTTAACAAAATCACGACTGAAACTGTGTCAACAAGGTAGCTAACGTCATTGAACAAGGTTACTGGTCTCGGGATGGCTTACAACAGGCAACTGTGGCACCACTTGTCATCCCTTTAAGTCGTGACTATGACACTACGACGGACGAGGAACCGACAGGTCTCCCGGAATAGATTTTGAGATGTCCCCGCCATGACTGGCTGTTCCGTTTCTGTGGTTTCACCCTGCCGTGACAGATAACAACTTTTGCGTTTTCAATGATGATAGTTTCTTAAACAACTGTTTTGGTGGAGTCCAGAAAATTTTCAAATATAAGAAAGCTGTTGGGTATTAGTAAATGATAAACATGTGTACTATTTATATTTATGTGGCAATTTTGTACAATGATAAAATTTGCAATTCATCGGTCCGTTTCTAACTCAAACGGACTGTACAGGTAAAATGTATAACAGGTAAACTATTGTTGCAGAATGTATAACACTGCCTCATAAATGCAAATGTTGATGCTTCAAAACAGCCAAACACCAGAATATCAATGTTTCAAAAGCACACTATGTGCCTTGATATTTTTGCACAATGGTATAAATTGCATCTGCCACTCTATATATGAATCAAAGAATGTGAAGTAACATGATGTCTATATATTCATTCCAGTGTGTGACATATGTGGTGATCAAGAAGCCACAAAACTGTGCAGCAGTTGTGACTTTAAGCTGCTCTGTGCACAGTGTGATGAGATGTGGCACAAACATCCACGTCGTCAGAACCACAAGCGCGACCTCACCTCTCCTTCAAAGTCGAAACAGAATCCCTTGCAGGCTTCTGCCACCATTCAAGGACCATATGGCATACAAGCTAGGTGAGTACATAAGTTTTATGAATACAAAACCTCTTTGGGTTTATGCTTTTTGGTGTAAGTTTGTTGTGTGGAACGAGGTTGTCTCTCCTCCACCAAAATGCAGGGAAATGTTGGCATTTAAATCCTTGTGTGACCCATACCTTTGCTGCAAGAAGTGCTAATGTACTTTATTAACAGAAGTGTCCAAATGTGCTCAGTGTATGGGATAATTTTCCAAACCAAGGCCCCTCACACTGTCAGAGTGACCACCCCAGACTGATGACACATCTCAGCCTTCAGCAAGTCTTGAGTTCTTGAAAGATGAGCAGGAGAGCATGCAGGATGTTCTTGACAAACATGTAGATGTGGTATTGATCAGTCCAGCAGGTAGGAAGAAGTAAGTATCATATCTGGTAATTCAGATCTAATCCAGGGAACAGGAATCCACTTTACTCAGGATATAACACACAACCATGTGGTTTGGGAATGACCATGCGAGGTTACTTTATCAGTGGAATGGGCTGAAGATGACCACTGGACTTTGGATCCACAGATGGAATTGTATGTGGAGTGCAATTTATAGTGTCAAGTGCCTATGGTAAAGTTAAACAGGACAGACGTCCACTTTATCAAGATGCCATGAGTATGAGGATTCAGCCTGTGTGTTCGGAACCTAACTTACTGTCTTATCACCCAGTGACCCTGTTTTCAATGCAGAGCTGAGAGACAGTCTAACTTGTGTCCTGTTTTCAATGACTAGCATATGCTATGTTTTTCTTTTGACATGCTGGAATATTTACATCATCATTAGTGTCCTTCTTGAAATACTTGTCAGTGACATTGAAGGTCAGATACAACATCAAGGTTATACAATAATAAATGTATTATGCTAGCAATTTACTGAAGAAGATTTCACTGTAGGTCTTTGAAACTTTACTCACATTAACTGTCGTGGGGAACCCAGAAAATGAAAGGTCATGAGGTCAAGGTCATATATTAAATTTGATTGCCATGTTCTCTAAAATGCCTCATTAAAGTCTAATGCATGTAACATATAATTTGTGAAAAGCGCTTTATTTTGGAAAGTGCACGTTAATTTTCCAAATCATCTTTATCATTGAATGGCAAAGGAGGCAATCTCTTTTCAGATCACTGTTACCAACTTTCATTGAGTGGTTTATGCTACTTATTCCTTTTACACTGAATTCCACAAATGGGAGGTGATATTTGTTTTATGTGCAGGATTGTCTCTTGTGAATTTCTCCTGAAGTAATAGTACCATTGGCTTTCCAAAAATGGATCTGTTTTGTTTGATTACAGCTTAGACCTTCATAAAGCCATCATTTGAAGTGAACAATTTGAAAACTGATTCATCCAGTGTTTTGCATGACAAGTATTTCCTACATATTTGACAAATTTCTAAAAGATTTCTGATATGAATATTTATTTCAAACTAATTCTTCTGTATCATGTATGAGTGGTATTATGTTGAGTAACAACTGCTTTTTCATATATATATATTGTATGGTTTCAAATTTCAAAGTTGTTAGACTTCAAATTTTGTTGAAACCATGGTGGCAAAGTGGGTTTGTGGATTGTTGACTTTGTATGCTGGCAATTAGGGCCCAGACGGGACTCAAATCCCCCAAAATACAGGAATCTGTACTTCACTGAGTACATTTAATCCCTCAATCACACACAATAATCTTAAACCCTGTATAAAAAAAATCCCTTGTGTAGCATCAATCCAAGTGATTTCAATAATTATATTAATCAATAGACAATAAATTCATATTTTTAACAAATTTGTTTTCTCCTGTTCACCAGAACAGATATGATGTACATTTATTTTCCAGCTGCACACAATATAACATATAATATACTTGGGATTACACTATCTCATTTGTATCTATATACAAACTGTATATATCTGAAAATAGCAGTCAGATGTGCACTCATTTTATCCTCAATATGCCAGTCATTGCATAAAACTGCCCAATATCAAAAGTGAAAAAAGAGAGAAGTATTTTAATGCAATAATCAGAAAAAATATTATTGCCACATCATCTTAGTTGCTGTTACACCATACTTTCAGGCTCCCCGTCCCCATTGTTTATGGCTGTATGCCAATGGTTTGCAGATAAATATAATTATATAGTGCCTTAATGTGGAATGTTTAATTGAAGTATTGCAACAAAGTTTTTCGAACATAATGATAAAGGTAATAGTATGACATGATTTTCATGGTCAGTGTTGTTTGCTTCAACAGAATGCACTTCAATGCAGGATGGAATTATTGTTACTGTATGTCAGTGATTCATTCAGATTCAACTCCAATATAAACATGTGTTAACATGAACTATTGCAAAATATAACAAAAACATGATTTGGGTGAACTAATTGAGCTTAACATCTTATGTGACCTCCAATAACTAAGACCCTTCACTAGAATGTCAATTATACAGTCCAAAATTTTTTATTAGACAGAGGTATTTATGATAAATTTATAACATTATGAAACAAACAAAAATAATCAAATATTGTGAATTGTGAAATGGTCACACAGAGCCAGAGGTTGTAACCGGGACGTGAATGGAAATACTGAGGACCAGACACTGATTACGGGTTGTGGGATCTATTCTTTATTGACAGACACCCCTGTGCGTGACACTGGGGTGTAGAAGAGCCACGTATCCAAGATGAATATACTGCTGCTTTAGATCTGACGTGTTAGTTGTTTGTGCTCTGAACTGCTATCGGATTGAAGTGAAGTGCAATGGCTGACGTGCAAGTAGTGTTTAGTGTTTTGAAAAGAACCAATCGACACAAGGGGCCAAGCAAGTCAAAGGGCACAACACAAGCGATGACACAATCTCTTGACACCACTTATACCCGTAATGGACTAGGCAAGATCTAAACATAACCATAGACTAACGCTTAAAAATGATACTGCTTGTGTTAAAACTATAGACAATGACAACTTCAAATGAACCAAATGTTACATGACTTCATACCTGCCTCACACTTCCCCTCCCCAACAAATGATGTCCCCATCATTATAATTTACCAGTGACAACACCCAGAATAGCCTCAGTTAGCTTCTCTGGCTGGTGAGCAAACATTGCCCCAGAGGCAAGAGAATTGAAATAATCCGCTTTCACCGCTCGTCTGGTGTAGCTACCGCAGAGAGAACATACTCCCGAATCCGCATCCATCTCGGTTGAACTCGGGTTCGGCCTGAACGTCCTGGAACTGGAGCTGACATTTTCCTTTCTGCTGGCTGACTATTCTCTTCATCAGATACTTCATTGCTGAAATAGCCACCTGCAGCTGATGTCTGATCCAGCTGACCAGTATCTTCAGATGTTACTTCCTCCCTCTCATCATGGACAGCACTAGCTTCATCATTTCCTACCCTCGCTGTCTGTACTTCAGCTGGCCCATCCACTGATGAATCAGTGAACACTGGAGCATGATATGAATAGGAGTACATATCTGAGTCCTGTCCATCTGAAGAACTTCCATCATCCTGGTGCGATATCTCTGATGTGGCTTTCAGGGATGTTGATGATCTTTTCCGTGGTGTTGGGATCACTTGTCTGGGCATTTTGGTTACTCGTCTTGGCGTTGGAACAGGTGGTTCCAAGTTAGAAATGTAGCCAACTGGCAACAGAAGATTTCAATGAAGTGTCTTCTTCCTTCCCTCACTATTTCTTGCACAACTGTGAAAACAGGAATAGATGGATTTGGTTGATTCACAACAATATGCACGTCATCTTCCCATTTGTTAGCCAGCTTGTGTCATCCGTCAAAGGCTACAATTTTTACAAGGACTCTATCTCCGACCTCCAGTGATGCAGCGCGAGCTCTTTGATCGTAATTTGATTTCTATTTGGACTGAGCCTTCTTTGCTGATGCCAACTCATATGCTTGCTTCAAACGTTCCCTGAGGGACTTGGTGTATTCAGAAATAGATCTGGACTTTCCTGGCTCTATGTCCAATCCAAAAGCCAAATCGACAGGTAATCTAGGGAGTCTTCCGAACATTAGAAAGAATGGAGATGTTGATGTTGTCTCATGTCTTGCACAATTGTAGGCATGTACCAAGGGACCTATATGGGCTTTCCAATTCCTTTTCTGGTCGGGATCCAGAGTGCCTAGCATGTTACAGAGTGTGCGATTGAAGCGCTCGCACATACCATTGCCCATGGGATGGTACGGCGTGGTTTGGGACTTCTCAATTTTCAACAGTTGGCACAGTTCCTGCATCACTTTACCAGTGAAATTAGCTCCTTGATCTGAATGTATCCGCCTTGGTAGTCCATAGTGAACAACAAAATTTGTAAAGAAAGTTTCAGCAGTTGTTTTGGCTGACATGTTTCTTGTTGGGTATGCTTGGGCATATCTGGTAAAGTGGTCAGTTACAACTAGAACATGCTCCAATCCACCTTTTGATGGTTCCATGTCTGGATGTTTACCATTGGAGCTCGGCTTGTTGGTGTTTTCCTTCGAAGACAGCATTCCATCCTTGCAAGTGTGCTTCAACATCATTTGACATCCCAGGCCAGTAGAATCTATCCCTCAAAAGTGCTAAAGTTCTATCTCTACCTGGATGTCCAATGTTGTCATGTAAACTGCGAAGTGCTGCAGTGCTACATTTCATCGGTAGAACCAACTGTTCTCGGTCTTCTCCATCTACAGTGGTAGTTCTATAGAGAACTCCCCTCTTCATTTGGAATTGGTTAAAGCATTTCAATAATGATTTCACTTCAGGATCATTGATGTACTGCATCCTATTTGGAGATGTGCCATTTCTCAAGTGCTCTAGGATTATCCGAAGAGATGAATCTTTGGCTTGAGCTCTCCTCCATTCCCTTGCATTCAGTTCGCACTGATCATCCTCAAGCTCCGTATCCTCTTCAATTATATTCATAGAGAAGCACAGACTTTCAACCAAACTTGAGACATGGATGGTATCACAAATGGCTGTCACAGACTCCTGAGATATTTGCTCATCTTCAACATAATCCTGATGATCTGGTAAGCGAGATAATGCGTCCGCGTCAATATTAGCTTTTCCTGGACGGTATTTGATACTGAAGTTGTAGTTTGCTAGTGCAACCAACCACCTATGCCCAGTTGCATCGAGTCGAGCACTGGTAAGTACATAGGTTAAAGGGTTGTTATCAGTGACCACAGCAAAGTCATGCCCATACAAATAGTCATGGAACTTTTCTGAGATGGACCATTTCAAGCACAAAAATTCAAGTTTATGTGCTGAATAGTTACTCTCAGAACGTCCTAATGCTCTACTTGCATAGGCAATGACTCGCAGATTGCCATCCTGGAGATGATACAACACTGCACCCAACCCATGTGTACTTGCATCAGTATGGAGTTCAATGGGTTGTGAATAGTCTGCATAGCCTAGTACAGGTGGGGAACACAGGCGACACTTTAACTCACTGAATGCTTCTTCTTGTTTTGGGCCCCAGATCCAGTCTTGATCCTTGGATGGTCGTCTAGATTTCTTCGAAGCAGATTTGGGTATAAGCTCAGAGAGAGGCCTTGAAATCTTTGAAAAGTCCTTGATGAATTTTCGATAGTAACCTCCAAATCCAAGAAATCTTCTGACTTCCTCTGAGTTAGAAGGTGTTGGCCAATGTCTTATCTTGTCAACCTTGTCCGGATCAGCTTCAATCCAAGCTTCAGATATGATATACCCTACGTATCGAACCTTTCGCTTAAAAAAATTACATTTCTTTGGTGCAAGCTTTAAGCCACATTCTTGGAGACGACGAAAAACAAGTTGTAGCCTCTCAAGGTGTTCCTCATAGGTCCTGGAAAATATGATAAGGTCATCAAGGTAGATGAGGCATATTTTGAGATGGAGACCCTCTAGGCATTCTTCCATGAGTCGCTGATAGGTAGCCGATGTGTTTGATAGTCTGAACGGCATTCAGTTGTATTCAAAGAACCCTATCGGTCCAACGGTAAATGCTGTACGAGACTTGTGGTCTTCCTCGATTTCAACTTGGTGGTACCCGCTCTTCATATCTAGTACTGAAAAGTACTTCATACCACCAAGACAATCCAATAGCTCTTCAATCCTCGGCAAAGCATATGAGTCCTTGATGGTACGTTTATTCAGCTGGCGATAATCAACACACATCCTTAATCGACCGTTCCGTTTGCGAACCAGTGCAACTTTGGAAGCCCAAGGGCATTGCGATTTTCTAATAGCCCCAGCAGATAAGAGCTGTTGTAGGTGACTGCGAACTTCCTCATACATAGCAGGAGGTATGCGCTGATGCCGCTGTTTGAATGGTCTATTATCCGTGAGTTCCATTCGATGATGAACCATTGAAGATTGTCCAATATCCTCCTCATTCTTTGAAAATATATCCTGAAATCTCATGATTATATCCAGTCCATGTTTAATCTCCTCTGATAATCCTTCCTTATCAATATCTATCTGATCCAATAACACATCTGCTTCAACAGGTAGGCATTTGGGTGAATCATGTATGGTTACTGGTTGAACATCACAGAGAAGAGCCTTTGGAGGTATACATAAGGTCTGTGTGGTCACATTTGAGATGTGTACATCTACAATCTCTGGCCTTGAACTATTGTAAGTGATGAGTGTTGGGGCAACATCAATATCAGCTGGTAGCGATGACCTGTGGGTAGGCTGAAGAAGTGCACAAATTCCTGGCGATGTCAATCCCTTCATGATCCGACCCTTTATGATGACATTACTATTTGGAGGAATGATCATATTCTGAGTCTCAGTGCTCCTGACTAAACCAAGACGCCATCCATTGCGTAGTAACTCCTTCTCCCTGAGTACAATGCTTCTGTAGGCCAAGTACCAAGGTGTATGTAAATCTGCCCTCTGTAGGAATTTTGGTCGATGGAGTTGCCTACATTCATCCGAAAGACATTGCAAACCATTTGTACCCAGCAAGGCAGGGACACGTGCATTTTACCTTGTTTCAGGAACAACCAAGAGTAGACAGGAGACAGGATTTTGAGGGCTGGTACCTCCACCGGTAAGGATAATATTAACTTGTATATATCCCTGATATAGGAGTGACTGACCACCAGCACATTCGATGTCCAAAATATCTCCAATGGGTTCAAGCGCAATGTGCTGCAAATGAGATTTGTAAAAGGTCTCAGAGACAATTGACACAGTAGCTCCTGTGTCCAATAATGCTTGCACGGGCACTCCTTCAATTACAATCTCAACTTCATTACTGTTGCCAACTAATCCATCTGGTACTGTAGGGCGTGATGAACAACCTAAGGGCAGCCCTTTCCCATAGGCCTGGGCCAGTTTAAAGGATGACGTAGGTGATCAAGTCTTACTCTGCATCCCCGAGCAATATGACCTGGGTAACCACACCTAAAACATCTAGGCAACTCTTCATTAGTGTTGTTCCACAGTGTCCCTCTCTCTGGTGGAGAGACATATCCAGTTGTTCCTTGTGTTGAATAAGGATGCATCCCTGATGCTTGTAGGTCAGTTCCATATGGCTGGTCATTGGTGACATCACAAGCTGGATGTGTAGAAAGAAATGGCTTGGATCGTGAACCAGTGTATGCTGGAGATTTCCCTTTGCCTCCACTTGATACTTTTCTCTCAGGTCTGTGGGGATGATTGACTCTGGGGTTTGAGAAACTGGGGTGTACTTGGGATGGCGGAGTTGAAACCTGTTGCTGGTAAACTTGATGGTGCTGGGATGATGATGGTTCATCTCGTTTATATATGATGTATTACGAAATAGTTTTCAATTGGTTATCGGTTAATTCATAAGATGTGCACTTTAAACCCATGAGATGTATGTTGTCAAGTAGGAAAATTTCGGTGAGCAATATCGTGTCTTCCACAGTCACGGTGACTCCCTGCAGACTGGTGTAGGCGTTAACGTTCACCCGCACGTAAACGGAGCAAACTTGGTATTGTTGTTGTTTGGCCCAGCGGAGTTTGATCCCTTTCACGATTTCGACGACCTTACGCGCCGACGGTGGTTCGCCAAGGTAGACTTGGATGTACAGCGTGGATTTTGCCGGGAGATTTTCCAGGACCGATACCATCTGCAATCCCACGTTTTGCGTTCCGGGTTTGCTCGACAGCATGTGGGCTATTCTTTGCCTCAACGTGCTGACAATCATGCTGCGTCTTTGCGTAGGGATGTAAGCCACGAGCAGCGTTCCGTTGTTCACGACTTTCGTCAGGTAGTGATCTTTGTTCGTGAAAACGTGTGGAGAGTCGAGCGTGATGTTGAGATTCCAGTCGATTTGGGATGGCACTAATACCCATTTGTTGTCGTCGTTGAAGATGAGAGTGTACTGCGTGTTTCTGGAGACAGCCGTGGTCTCAACGTCATGAGAAGGCTGGGGTTATCGCCCATTCGTCCTCATTGTTGCGTATCAGGTCGTACCGAGTGTTGTTGACCGCTTCTTCGGTATCAACGAAATTGCATAGGTTGTTGCCACTACCACTGGCAGTAGAGGACGGCAGTTCGGCGCGTTTGTAAATGCTGTTTTTCAGTTGCAATGCGTACAGTTTGCCCTCGATTCCGGGCTCCTCGAAACTGCGCGTGTCTCCGAGGTCGGAGAGCGCGATGGTATAACATTTTCCCAGTCGCATGGTCATTCCCTGACCCGAAGCTTCGGTCATTGTCTTTTGCGTAGGTGCAGCGTCACGCTCAGGTATCCTATTTTGACTGGATTATGTCTAAAACCGATATATTTAATTCCATGATGGTGCCTTGGCTTAATTTCTTGTCATACCGCGACGAAAACGATTCGGTTCAACCATCGTTGTACGTTTCCGTTTTCACCGGCACAGCTCTCAGCACCGTCGAATGTCGTTTGCCTTGAACGTTGTCAGTCGTGCTCAGCTGATCAAGATGAACGCACAGTTCGTGGTACGGAACGAGTTCGGGTAATTTCATACCGGTTTTCGGTTGTATTACGTTGAAGGTAAACCCGAGCGTTTTAGTCAACGGCTGGCTAAGTCTCAAAGTGTTTTCTCCGTTGTTGATCAGCACAACCGTGCCGTTCGCTCATGCTGTAGTAGCCATATGTTAATTGGTTGCGGTTGTCGTTGACAAACAGCCTGTAGTTGTGTCCGTCGATGTTGGTCCATTGCGGATAGTAGGTGATGTAGCAAAGCGCGACTTCGAGTTGACCTGACGTGTTATCGATGGTGTGCAGCAGTTGAACGGGCTCACCGCTCGTGATTCCCGGAAGCGTTGCGTACATATTGAAAAAGTAGAAATGTATACTAAATAACAATTCAATATGTACAAACCGGAAGTGTTTTATTCTAAACGCGATCATAAAATAAGTGCCACCGATCTCACGCAACTGAGTATTGTGGTCGATGCAAAGGATGGTTTACATTTCATGGTTCGGTTCATTGATGTGTTTGCGGTCACCAAGGTGAAAACGGTACACGCTTGGTTCCACAACCCAATGCAGTTTTGGCAGAATCAATTCAATTGCGCCATGTGGTGCGCGACGACGGGGTGCGGCGTGACGTTGAACGACACTTGTCCGTGTTTTATTTTCACGTGTTCTACCAGATCAGACGTATCCTGAAAGAAATCAGCGCCCCGATTCCGCAGGACGTGGCGTGGAATGTCGTAAACAATCCGTACGATTTGCGGTCAATTCAAACTAGATCTGAAGACGTCCTGGCGTTTGCCGGGTCCGAACCACGGTTTGGGCATTCCCATTGTTCACAACATGTCTCTCGCGGAAGCCAGCAAACAGCTGGTGAAAGATTGGGGTTATAAGTCGTATCATTATGTCAAGACGAACGAGTGGAATGACGATTACATGGCTTTCGATGACAGCAAGGATTACCGCATTTGGAGGTTTGAGCAGGGACCTGCGGACGATTGGAAAATGTTCATGCTGAACACTTCGAATGGGTTTACCTCGTGCTGGTGTCATCAGATTGAACGATTCAATTCGAACGTATGTGTGGGCCGTGCTGTACATTGTTCTGAGCGACATGCGACTGAGGGTGAACAGAGTGGTGGGCTACAATAACGAAATCGTAATCGCGACAGCTGATCAAAAGTTAGGCTTGAACCAGGACATCGCGAGTCGAGTCGTGCCGCAGTACGAAACATGACGTACACTAAACCCGCCACGGCAACGACGAAAGTCCACAGGTTTTGACCGAGCCACTTGACCGTTTTCGACAAGAAGCCTAACAACCAGGAAACGATGCTACCCAAAATGCCAGGCAGCGCTTCGCAGCTTTGCCAGTCAGTTTAGCCAGGGCTTCGCCGAGAGATTTCAAATGTTTTTTGATCCAGTCTCTGACATCGCCTGATGATGGGCTTGGTGGTGTCCCACCACCACCCGTCAGCGACATGACCAGGGTTGATACGATGAAGCCCAAAGCCGTAAGAACGTTGGCGATGGTGATCCCTTGTTCCCGGAACAGAATTCAGATCCTGTCGGCCAACGTGGTGTCCTCGTTCAAGACTCGTCGATGGTTTCACGCACGAGGCTGATTTGCGATCGGAGGGCTTCCCGGTTGGAGGAAGCGGCTTCCAATCTGGTCCGTCTCTCGTCTTCCAGGTCGCGCAATCTTTTCTCGATGATGTTTTTCGTGGCTTCGTCGTCGACGACGATCCTGAGATTTCTTTTCTCGCAAGCGATGTGCTGATCGATTTCGTTCAGTTTACCCATGTTGTTCACGAGTTCTCCGCGCACGTTTTTCAAGGCTTCGTCTAGACCCCGAAGTTCCCTAAGAGGAAATTCGAAACCGGGCAAGGGTTCGTTCGAGTACGTGACCAATATTTTGGGATTTCGTCCGATGCTTCTTTAGCTCGCTGGGGCACTTCTGCCGAGTTCTGTCCTTACGTTTTGCAGATCTCGGTGGAAGTTGTTTTGGTCGTACACCGGCGTAATCTCGCAGGTTTAATTCGTCGCGTATCAGTTGACTACCACCACGGCGACTGCCTAGCGTTGACAGTGCGAGCGGTTTTCTCGTGTGTTTGTTCATGAGATCGACCTCCGAATGAGCTTTCAATCGCAGCTTCCCTTTGCTGTCGATTTTGAACTTTGGATAGTCGCGACCTAATGGTTCGACGTAATTTTTATCGCGTTTTAAAGCATCGTAATATTCGTTCACGACCTGCTTTAAAATCTCGTTGCCCACGGTGTCACCCATGAACAAGGTCTCTGCTACATCATCGTCGTCGTTCAGCTGGTGTAAGTCTAAATCAGCCATTATTTTATTTTTTTTATTAAACTACAAATATACATAGTTTCAATATAAACAATGTTGCATTATGGACGAAAGTTAGATCCTTTCCGAAAATCGAGAGCGCTGCGTTGTGTCCATCACCAACAATCCGTGCACGGTCGACCATCACCAACAATCTGAGCACAATCGATCAAAACCAAACGCTGCTGGTTCGATTCCCGAACCTAGCGCAAACGACGTCATTGTCCACGGCGCGATTCGACTGGCTTTTTACATCACGTTGGAGTCCACAAACTATAAACGTGAACAACCTGGGTTGTGCCATCATCAAGAAAACTACCATCAAAATCAGCAGGAAGGAGGTGCTGAGCATCGACGACAGCGACAACTTTTAGTGTTACGCAGACCTCTGGAGAACCTCGAACAAACGCGATGACATGGCGTATCAAGGACTTTGTCGGAATAACGACGTATCGAATGAAATCCGTGTGAGGTACGTTTTCACGTCAAATCAGCTCGACAATATAACAATTTGAGAAAAAGCCGTTGCCGAGGCGTACGGGAATCGTTTTTGCGTACCGCTAGACTTCGAATTGCTCGAGGGGCACATGCCGTTTTACCAGGCCGCGCTGGGCGACCGGCTGGAATACGAACTCACGTTCAATGACTACGGCAAAGTTATCTACACGCCGGACGGCACCGGAAGCCAGCTACGCCATCAACAACATCTCGCTGGAGTTCGACATGGTCACGAGCATGGAACTGGCCCCGCAGATTCGCCACCAGTACTCGGGAAAGCTGTCCATCCTGTACGACCGTGGGCTGCGACACCAGACGATCGTCAAGGACAAGAGCGACAGGTTGTGGAACATCAACCTGAACGTGCTGGCTAGATCGATGAAAGGCATCTTGATCATTCCCGTGGCTGAATACAAGCTGTTTCGAAGAGACAGCGACCTCACTGGGAATCCCAAGATCACGAAAGTGGAAGTGACCGTCGAGGGCGTGCCCAACCAGCTGTTCAGTCAAGGCATGCGAGCCTACCAGCAGTGGGACGAGATAAAAAAACTATCAGCCATCAAGCGACACTCGTCTGAAGTCAACGACGTCATCAAAGACCTGGGTTTGCCCTACGTGACGCTCCATAAATACCTGTTAAAGTATTACGCGCTGTGGCTGGACATGCGATCCACGGATGATGACAGACTACACGGCAGCGGACGTCGCATCGACAACGGCAGCGAGGGGATCACCATCCAAATCACCAAAAAAGCTCAAAATCCGGGCGGTAAATTAAAATTATATTTGTACGTGATTATGGACGCGCAACTAAATATAGACAATGGAAGATTCGTGCAAGCCATTTATTGATTTACCTCGCGATCTCCACTGCGCCATCGTGTGTGGTCAGACGGGGTGCGGCAAGAAGGCATTCGTGCTGGACATACTATCGCGACATGTTTGATCACATCGTCATTCTCTGCCCGACTTTACAGGTCAACAAGACGTATGCGGAGAGAGCGTGGGTGATGACTGACCCGGACGTGCACAAAATCGATCCTGGAACTCGTCTGCAGGACTGGTTGCGCGTTTATCACGACAAGCTGAAAGGAGAATCGACGCTGTTCATCCTGGATGACTGCAGCGCCAACAAGGAGATGGTTAAAAAACGAGACACGTAGTCGTATCTGGCCGTGTCAACCCGAGAAGGCCGACACACAAAGCACAGCTTTTGGTTGCTGACTCAGAAATTATACTCGGTGCTGAAAGATTTACGGGAACAAACGCGATGGGTCGCCCTGTTTCACTGCAAGGACAGGGATTCGTTCGAGGAGTGCTTGCGAGAAAACTACGTGATTCCGGCAAACAAGAACGAGAACGAGTGAAGGAACAGCTCGCCGAAAAGAAACACGCCAAACTCCTGTTGAAAACCGACCAACCCATGGAGTATAAAGTCTGCTAAAAATTCTAGCCAAATTCAAGCCAAGTTCTAGCAAAATTCAAGCGAATGAATATTTTTGGTTGACAATGTACGAAATTCTGGTCGTGTGTTTTGCGTTCATCGGATTTGTTTTATTAGACTTAAACATTGTTTGACATATTATAAGATGGAGTACGACGAACTTCTCAAACCAATGTCGGTTGACAACAATGACAATAATAAAAACGCCAAGCGGGAAAGACTAGTGGCGCTCGTGGTTGTCGGCGGCAAAGCCAAACAATATTTGGGTGGGGGCGACCACACTCCCGATAAAATTCGCAAAATGTCGGCCGAAGAAATCAACAAGCTGTACGCGAGATACGAAGCCAGACTCAGCGCCGAAATGACGAAAACCATAGGGTCGGCCATGACGCAGATCTACACCGGGATAGCCTCTTACTTCCTTCCCATTCCCACGGAACGTCGACTTTACCTGTGGGAAGATCTCGAGAAAGATCCGTTCATCAAACATGCTTTGAGCGCCGTCAGCTGTGTGCTGTACCACAGGTATGGCATGGTTTTAGCTCCATTGGCGGCGGCGATCATTACGGCAAAGCATTGCCAATTTAAAGAATTAAATAATGATAACGACATAGTACAAGATGTCATCGTAGGGGGTTGCCCATGAGCAACAGACGACGACGGCAGAGGAACAACAACAACAACAAGTGATTGATGCCGTAACCAGAAGGAAAAAGGATCCCCAAAAAGTAGCCGCCGGTCGCAAAGGCCAGTTAGCTAAAAAGCGGAAAAAAACTCGTCAATGGATTTCTTACGCCATAACAACAGCAGCATGCATCACCACCGTCTTCATCATATTGCTGTACAAATTCAACCCGAAGACATCACCACCACCACCACCACCACCACCGGTACCCGCCCCTCAATTAGAAGTAAACCCTCACATCATGTTATAAAAAAATGTCGACAACCGATGGAAAAACGTTCGTCAACGACGCTTATCACGCCATCATGGTCAGCGTACTGGCCATAGGCTACGCTCGATTGAGCAAAATGATCACCAAACAACCAGCACCCAAACTCGATTTCATCCTGCAAGACATGGGCATGCTCGTGTTCGATTTGGGACTGGCGACAGCCACCAAAGACATGCTCTTCAAGCAAGGCATCATTCCGGAAACATATTGAAATAAAAAAAAATATATATTGTAATAACATTAAAAGATGGCCACGAGAACGATGATGGTCAGCGGGGCATTAGTCAACGCCCTTGCATTTTCCGGCAGCAATTATCTCTTCTCCAAATTACGAACGTCTAATGCAGTCGAAATCGAAGCGGAACATAAACGTTACGATATGGCCGTGGAGAAACTGCAGGCCACTCAAGCTGAGTACGTCAAAAAACACCCACAGAGAATAGATTTCATTAACGACTAACTCGCTCGCGAAAACCACGCTATGAGAATGTTCAAGAACGTCAACGACGCCATGCGAGAGTACTACCTACTCACCTGCAAACGACTCGAGCCTCTTGGCGGCGAACCCACCCTCTTGCAGTATTACACACCCTCCCAGGAACAGAAAGATGGGAACTGATCTTCGTGGCGCTGGGCATAGCCGCTACCGTGTTGATCGCTAAACAATTAGACTAAAAATGTGTATACATAAAGATGGGAAGACGTGCGTTGTATAACTGCAAGTACATGCTGCTCGGCAAAGCTGAAACCTGCGGCAGGAAATGCATAGCCGACTATTGCGGCAACCACATGATGTCCATACGAAAAGGTTTCGTGAATTACACGTGCGGCATGGGCGTGAAATGCCATTATCGCCATTGCAAAGCCCACGTAGCGGACGTGGTACGAGGCCATCTCATGTACTTGACGAAAAGAGACTACCTCAACGAACGCAACCGACTGCTCAGAATAAAAATTTAAAAAGTAGAGATTTTCCGTGCGCTTCAATATTGTTCAAAACAAATCGTCAGAGATAAGGCTGACGTAGTTACCTCTCATTTAGCAAACAACCAATTAGAGATTTGACTTCACACCTGACTATAGCGAAAACCTATTAGAGATGTGACTTCGCATCTGAATATAGCGAAAAATCCTATTAGAGATTTGACTCCGCATCTGAATATAGTGAAAATCAAACCTATTAGAGATTAGACTTCGCATATGGATATAGCAACAATGCTCACTGTTCGAGAACTGAAAAGGATTGCTAAAGAATGTGGAGTGATCGGTTACTCCAGTTTGAAGAAACCTCAGCTGCTGAGATTGCTCAACATCGTCGATGAACAACAACGACCCACGGTGAAACAACTCAAGCTCCGAGCGAAGGAGCGTAAGCTCAGAGGTTGTTATTCACGCATGAACAAAGCCGAGCTTGTCGAACTGCTGGGGGAACACAAACACGTTGAACTGCAGTTCGCGCAGATGAAGCACACCGTAGGTAAGTATCTGAGAGGCTGGAGGCTGGACGTTGACGACATCACACCCCTGATTGCTGACAAAGTCGGCGATGAACTGAACAATCTGGGAAGCCTCAAATTTCAACTCACGGTGAGAATGTCCTTGGAAAAACAGCAGACGGACGGCACCACCAAGCACGTCCAGCCCTACTTCAGAGGCAAGCAAGAAGTCGCGACTCAACCCGAGTCCGTCGACGCATCCCATCGACACCTCGTTTGCAAAAATACGAGAATCCCTGGAACGCTTTACGCGCGTAGGCTCGGGCTGGGTCGTCGACACGATCGATGTGGTCTACCTGGACATAGCAAACTACGTACCGTTCAAAGGAGGGTCGTACCTGGACCTGCCACCATACTAGAAGAAAAAACAAGCCATGGTCAACCTAAAAAATAAAGGCGACGACTGTTTACCGGTGCCGACTTGCATCCAGCTACCCATCATACAGACAGACTTTCCAGCTCTCCCTCCATCGAGGAATCCGGCCTCGACTTTACGGGGATAGACATGCCTACTCCCATCTCACAAGTCGCTCGAGTGGAAAAACAAAACCATCTGGCTATTAACATCTTCGGACACGAAGGGAACACAACTATTCCGCACAGGATAAGACCCGTCCTAGATAAAACTGTGCGAAGGACCAATTTATTTCTGATCGAAGAAAAGGACAAGTATCACTACGCAACGATTAAAAGTTTCAGCTGACTGTTGTACGATCAATCGAAGCACGCCAGGAAAAACACTTTTGCGAATGGTGTCTGCACTGTTACACGCGAACCGATCTGCTGGAATCGCACCGGGAGGATTGCCGAAGCGTGGGACAGACGGCCGTCCGAATCGACATGCCCGATGAAAACGACAACGTCTTGAAATTCATCAACCACAAGCATCAAATGTCCGTGCCTTACGTCATCTGCGCCGACTTCGAAGCCCTCATCAAAAACGTCGATACTGTCGCTCCGTCGTCCCTGGACAAAAGTTTCACTCACAAAATGCAAGAGCACGACGCCTGCGGGTTCGGTTACGATGTGATGCGACAGACAAACGAAACATTTCTCACGTTCTTACAACACGGAAGAGAAAAAAATCAGGAAAGAGTTGTCAGATCCTGCTCTCATGCGCATGACGTCGAAGGATAAACTCACTCACAAGAAGGCTAAGAATTGCCAACAGTGCGACGAACCCCTGTGCGGGGATTCCGTGAGAGATCACTGCCACATCACTGGCAAGTACAGGGGTGCCGCTCACAACGCGTGCAACCTGAAGCTCAAAATCAACCCCAAAACCATCAAAATCCCCGTCGTGTTTCACAACCTTCGCGGGTACGATTCTCACCTGATCATGCAGGCCATCGGGAAGGTCGACGGCAACATAACATGCATCCCCAACAACATGGAAAAATACATCTCGTTCTCCTTAGACGGCCTGAGATTTATTGATAGCGTTCAGTTCCTGCTGTTGTCTCTAGACAGTCTGGTGAAGGCCAACGACCCGGACGACTTTGACATCACCAATCGATACACCGACGCTGAGACTCTACCCCTGCTGCTGAGGAAGGGCATCTACCCCTACGAGTACATGGATGATTCGTCCAAGTTCGACGAGACGCGATTACCTCCCATCAACCAATTTTACAGCAACTTGACCGACTCGGCCATCACCCCGGACGATTACGCCCACGCGATTAACGTGTGGGACAAACTGGGCTGCAAGCATTTGGGTGATTACCATGACCTGTACTTGAAAACGGACGTGCTGCTGCTGGCCGACGTGTTCGAGATATTCAGAAAAACGTGCTCGAAACAGTACGGCCTGGACCCCACGTGGTATATCTCATCCCCGGTCTCTCTTGGGACGCCTTGTTGAAAAAGACTAGAGTTAAATTAGAATTGTTAACGGATTACGACATGCACTTGTTCGTGGAAAAAGGCTTGCGAGGCAGGATTTCCATGGCCTCCAAACGATACGCCAAAGCCAACAACAAGTACGTTCCCGGTCACGACCCCGGCAAACTGACCAAACACATCCTCTATCTCGACGCCAACAACCTGTACGGCTGAGCCATGAGTCAGTATATCCCCACCGGGGGATTTGAATGGGTCTCTTCACCCGAGATAATCGATGTGAATAGCATTGCGCCGGATTATAACAAAGGCTACGTGCTTGAGGTGGACTTGGACTATCCCGCAGAACTACACGAATCTCACAACAGCTATCCGCTAGCTCCCGAACGATTGACGGTGAACCCGGACTGGATGTCCAAATATCAACGAAACTTGCTGGGAGACAATAAGCCGGCTAACGTTGAAAAACTTGTGCCGAACTTGATGAACAAGTCAAAATATGTCGTTCACTATCGCAATCTGCAGCTGTACTTGTTGCTGGGAATGAAACTCACAAAAATACACAGGGGGCTCGAGTTCGATCAAAGTCTGTGGATGGAGCCTTATATCCGAATGATCACGGACTTGCGAAAGCTGGCCACCAGCGATTTCGAGAAAAACTTGTACAAACTCATGAACTCGGTGTTTGGCAAGAAGATGGAGAATTTGAGAAAACATGTTAACGTGAAATTAGTCAGATCCAGCGAGGAAGAAAAACTCAGGAAACTCATAGCCAGCGCGGAGTTCTTCTGAAGCAAGATATTCGATGACGACTTGGTGGCGCTGCACATGAACAAAAGCCACATCAAATTCAATCGGCCCGTTTACGTGGGGATGAGCATCCTCGACTTATCCAAACACTTGATGTATGATTTCTACTACAACGAGCTGAAAAAGCAGTACGGCTATAGGTGCGAAGTGCTGTACACCGAGGAAGTGTACGAGGACATTAAGAAACGCATGCACCTGTACGACACCAGCGACTACCCTAAAGATCACCCTATGCACAGCCAAGTCAACAAAAAAGTGCTTGGCAAGATGAAGGATGAATGCGCGGGCACAAGCCATCTGGCAAGTTTACCTGCCGGCACCTCGGTACATTTCAAGAAGAAATTTGACATTTCAACGCCGAATCGCGTTCACCAAGCCGACCTCCTGTTTCTCCCTCACGACAGGGTGAGACACAAAACCTACAAGTATGCCCTACCCGTCGTCAACGTCGCCAGTCTCTACAAGGAAGCCGAACCGTTGACAACGAAAGATTCGAACGAAGTCGCCAAAGCCTTGGAACGCATCTACAAATGCAGTCGCTTGACCTGGCCTACCGTATCTCAAGTCGATCCTGGACGCGAGTTCATGGGAGCCATGTCACAGCTGCTGGTCAAGCACAAAGTCCAAGTGAGACAAGCTGGATCTCACCGTAGCCAAGCCATAGTCGAGAGATTCAATCGCACCTTAGCCGAATGCCTGTTCTCGCGCCAGTACTCGCGGGATTTAATGGATCCCAAAAACAGACACACGGAATGGGTCGTACGCTTAACTCAAGTGGTGGATGTCATCAACAACGATGTCACCAGACTCGTGGGCAAGAGACCCGTCAAAGCCATCAAAATGAAATCTGTCGAATCATCGCCGTCAGCGGCACGTCGCAGTAAAACGGAGAAAACATCGCCGGGTCAATAAATTACGAGGGAGACAGGAAAACGGCGTCAAAACATTACGGACCTGGTCGACATCAAAGACGTTAGGTACTTGTACCAGCCGGGAGAAGGTACTTGTAGCCGGGAGAATACGAGGGAGACAGCAGAAAACGCGTCACCGATCCGATATGGTCCATGAAAAGGTACAATGTAGACCTGGTCGACATCAAAGACGGCGAACTTGTACTACTTGAAAGACGGGCCGCCGAGAGCATGCGTCAGAGAGGAGTTGATGATCGTACCTCACGACACAGTCCCTTTTCGATCACCCACTGTATGATAATTGTCATCATTGTGTGTGTGTGAATCAAAGGCCTTGATTTTTCCCCCATGCTCACTTAAAAGTCAATATTTCAGAAACTATTCGACCGATTTTCGTCAAATTTTGCATTCAACTCAGTAGTAGTATAGACAATGATGGTACAGGATCAGGGCCTACCCAAGGGCTCAATTTTTTAATTGAGCCCTTGGGAGGGGCCTGGTGTCGTACAATCATTGTCTATACTACTCTTGATATTTTGAGACGGTCCCTGACATGAATATATTGAATATATTGAGCACTTTCAGAGCACATTAGGTTGCTATTGAAATCAAGGGCAGAAGATTCAAAGGGAGCTAACTCTGGATACCCCAATATATTGCAGAATCTGAACCATATCGCGATATTTGTATCACAAGATATTGTACCGGTATATACCAGTATACCGGCTCTGGAAAACAGCACTACCACCAATTTCAGTCAAAGGAATTTGTTGCCATGGAAACACAAACATATTTTATTCAGAAATCCAAAACTACCAAAAGGCACCAGTTCACCACCAGACCTATCTATGTGCCAAGTTTGGTGAAGAAACGTACGTTTTTTATGTTCTGCTCCGGAAAAGATGAATTTGCACAGACGGAAAAATAATATCCCATACAAAACGTGTTGTGGAGGATAACAATGTTGTAATTGTATTACCTTGTTTCATGACATTCTGTTGTAATGATGATTGGTTGACAGGAATCTGTTACTATCTTATGTAAGCAGTGGTGTGGAGGTTACTATAGTTTTATGCTTTTTGAATCAAGTGTAATCTGTGTAAGCTCAAGCCTATATCATCTAACTTTCCATCATGATCAGCAAGGTTGTGTGAAAATCAAATCTCCACTAGCGATATTCAGCCAAGGACTGCTGTTGATGCTTGGTGAATATTAATTATCCAAGACTTTATTGCTGTTAAATCAGCTATTGTATTTTTTACTGCTATGCTATAGACCGATCCAGTCTGTCAATCAAAACTGGCACATGCATCAATTTTGGCCAATCAGTAGGATGGGCGCGCATTGAGTGCCTACAAAACCATGCGTATTTCAGAATTTCTATAAAGAGATTGAACCTTGAATTGTATTACCTTACTCCATGTGGATCGAAGACAAAAACTATGTGAGAAGAATACTGACTTTCTGGAATATTGGACAAAGTGAAATAAAGTGAATTTCTTCATCATGAGAACATTATTTGAATTTTTGTTACAACATAAATTATTCACATATACGGGAGGTATATTGGTACATTTTAGAAGTTATAACTCAACTATCATTTTAATTAAACCACTAGAAATGATAGCAAGGTATGTTTAAAGAATCTTGCGTCCTTCAGTAAATGTGGAAAGGTAATAAAAGAGATAATAATCTAATCAATTATAAATAATTATTTTATTAATTAACATATAGGATTCATATGATTTTAAGTTGACTTTTCATGTATAAAAAATATAACTGCAATGAATGTTGAAACTTATATTTAACACAGATTTTATGTAATTCTTCTTATAAATCATCAGCTTTTGTGGAGGTTACCAATATTTGAAGACTCAGCCAACGCTAGTGTTTATTAAGATGTTGGTTTTGGACTAATTGTTTAAGGTTTGTTGATGATTATTTGGTAAATTAGCTTCATATTACATTGCACACTGGTTTGTCATAGGTTAAAGCTTCAGGACATTTTCATGTGTGTTTTCCTAAACTTTTGTTATGATTTTTGCCAAATTTTTAATCAACTTTACTATATTTTTTAGGACACTTATAAGAATCTCAGAAAAGGAAATAGATCAAAATTAGTGTTATGTCCTTTAGGGATATGGTCTCAGATCTAATAAGGCAAAGATTATCATTGTTTAAGAAGCAATAATGTCAATATGTAACTTAGGATATATTCTTTGCACCTTATTTACACTAGTAGTTAGCAGTTAAATAGTTTAGTTCAGTTTGTTTATTGTTTCATGGCCAGTTGACCCATAATACAGTACACTAAATATACATGAATATATACACATGCGTATCAAAGGAGTTCTCAAATATGAAACACATTGTAAAGTTATTTGCTAACATGAATTTATAATTGGAATTCATTAAAGATATTAACCCGTTCATATTTCTCTTGTGCTTGAAAATAAGAGGTACATCATCACAAAGAGTTTGATACATTGGACATTTATAGTTAGGTGGTAGGTGGCACTGCACCATGGCAACACGTATCGAAACGTCTCTCTCTGTATTATACATTTTTGCTAGTTGTATGTGTTTTCCTCTGTCGTCAAAGACGTTCAGGTTTGAACAAAGGTGATTTCTTCAATATTTGAAGAGCGTGATGAACCAATTGCATTTTTTCAGTGTTTTCTACAGCTTGATAGCCCTAATTATCATTGCCGGACAGTTTGGCTTTGTTTACTCGGGTAGCCATGGTGACGTCACGGCCATACGTTATGATCGCCTCCAACTCTTGGAGTTCTGTGACTCTTCTTGGACAGGAAAATCTATAACAGATGCTCCTGAGGAGTGTTTGAAAGAAGATGTTGCTGTCAAGAAACGCAAGAGAGGCAAAAGAGGAGGTTTGAGATGGAAAATACGAACAAGGAAGAACAGACTGCCGCTACCGACCTTGATGCTCTCAAATGTGTGGTCGTTACGAAAACAACTAACGGAATTGGAAGAGTCTGCAAAATTCATGTACGGGGAAAGTTGTTTATTGTGCTTGCCCGAAACATGGCTGAGTGAAAGTGTGAATTCGGGATCAATAACTATGTGGATTTGGACAACCGATTCGCATGGACAGAGATCTTCAGATAGTGGAGAAGGTAACGGGTGGGGGACTGTGTATATACATGAACCAAAAATGGTGCAAAAACTATGTCTTGCGTGAAAGTTTGTGCACAAAGGCCGTGGAAATATCAGTTTCATTCAGACCATTTTACCTACCAAGAGAATTTGGACAGGTATTTGTAACTCTTGTATATGTTCCACCAAATGCAAACTCAAGCAAAGCCGCTGATTCAATTTGGACAATTACAGAAAAATTGCAAGCTCTGTCACCGGATGTTCCCAATTTCATTATGGGTGATTTTAATAAATGTTCTTTAAAAGATGTACTTCCACACTATTTTCAATATGTGACGTGTCCATCCAGGCGAGACAAGACATTGGATCTTTGCTACGGCAATATTCCTACGTAAAACCGCCTATCGGAACATCAGATCATAAGGCTATTTATCTTGTGCCAACCTACAAACAGAAGCTGAAGTCGGAAAACCTGTTATCAAGCAGGTTAAATCATGGACCACTGAGTCACTGGATCAGCTGAAAGGGTATTTTGAGTGTACTAGTTGGGATATTTTTGATGAAGCATGTAATACTCTGGACGATCTAACCAACGCAGTCACAGACTACATTAAGTTTTGTGTTGATAATGTTATTTCTCTTAGGACAATCAAAGTTTACCCTAATAATAAACTGTGGGTCACAAAAGAGTTTAAATCTTTATTGAATGAAAAGAAATGAGCATTTTGTTCAGGTAATATTCACAAAGTTAAAGAAATTACAAAGGGATATTTTATGTCAAACAGCAAAATGTAAAGATGCATATAAATGTAAAATTGAAAAAATGTTTACCACAAATGATTTGAAACATGCTTGGCAAGGACTTAAGTCTGTAATTGGGATTAACAAAAAACAGCAGTGAATTGATGTTCAAGATAATTTTGTTTTTGCTAATGAATTGAATTTGTTTTATGCCAGATTTGACAATCATGATTTTACCAATGATATTGATAACATGTATTCATCTTTACCCTCATCTGATGGCATAGTAATATCAAGAAGTGATGTTCTGTTGTCATTGAAACAACTCAAAGTAGGCAAATCTTGTGGCCCTGATAACTTACCTGGTATTGTTTTGAAAGAATGTAGAGAGCAACTATGTGTCATATTTCAGAAGATGTTTCAATGGTCAATTAGTTCAGCTGTTCCCACTCTCTGGAAAACTTCCAATATCATTCCTGTTCCGAAAAGGAATAATCCTACTTTAAATAATGACTATCATGCAGTTGCTTTGACATCGATAGCCATTAAGTGTTTAGAACAGATTATCCAAAAATTGTTACTTGATAATGTAAGTCATTTGCTAGATCCTTTACAGTTTGCATAAAGACCAGGGCATGGGACAGAGGACGCAACATTAACCCTCCTGCAAAATATTTACTTTCATCTGGAGACTTGTAACAACTATGTAAGAATTCTCTTTATTGATTTTTCTTCTGCCTTCAACACCATCCAACCACACCTTTTGATGATTAAACTGTTTAATCTAGGCATTAATAGCAGCATTATCAAATTGGTAAAAGAGTTCATGGTACATAGAACTCAGTATGTCAGTGTCAATGGCTATCAATCATCTTTTCTCTCAACCTCTACTGGAGCTCCACAGGGCTGTGTTCTTTCACCCTTACTCTTCATTTTGTATACCAATGACTGTTACTTGTCATTAAATGACGTGTCTACTGTGAAATTTGCAGATGACGCCACTGTTACTGGCCTAATTTCTGATTCTGAACATAATTATCATCAAGGGATTAGAAAATTTCTATCTTGGTGTAAAGACAATTTTCTTTTTCTGAATGTAAAGAAAACTAAGGAAATGGTGGTTGATTTTCAGAGAAATAAGGAACCTCTACATCCTCTTATAATTGATAATGCAGTAATTGAAAAGAGTGGACCATTACAAATGTCTTGGTGTTATTTTAGACTCAAAACTTTCGTTTTCAAAACACATCGATCACATTTACAAATAAGGCCAACAGCGACTTTATTTTCTTCGCTGCTTAAGAAACTTTTCTATTGACAACACCATTATGACCGTTTTTTATCAAACCTTTATACAAAGTGTGCTGACCGACAATTTTTTATTTTGGAATGGGGGTCTGTCTGCTCGCAACAAAAACAAACTTTTCAAAATTGTTAATACTGCCAGCAAACTTACTGGAGTGTCTTTCGAGTGTATTCCCTTTATTTATGAGCGCCAGATTGTCAAAAAGGCAACTAACATTAGATTTGATAGTACCCATATTTTATCTCACCATTTTCAACTACTTCCATTTGGACGCCGCTTTCGATTACGGTACCTTCGCTTAAAACAAACAGAGCTCGACAGTCCTTCATACCATCCAGTATTCGTGTTATTAATGCAACAAATGTCTTGGAATAGTCATCAAGCATGCGATACCTACTAACTTAGCCTCTTTACATATGTAGTTAATTATCATCAGCATTCATTTTGTGCATGTTATTATTGTGTATATATTTGTGAAATTTGTATATATTCATTTTGAGGCCATTTTTGATACCAAAAGAATTTCCTCTGGGATAATAAAGTTTCATCTTATCTTATCTTCTTATATAATCTCGTGAGCATATCACGCCTGTTCTAAAAAGTTACATTGGCTCCCAGTTCGGCTTAGGGTGGTGTACAAAGTCTTATCACTGACCTACGCTGCTCTGCACAATGATAACTCCCCTCTCTACCTAAAGGACCTGATCCAGATGTAAACACCAGGACGATATCTCTGATCTCAGAATATGTACAATCTCTCGGTTCCCTCAACATCCACTAAACTTGCTGATCGTGCCTTCTCCAAGGTTGCCCCTACCTTGTGGAACAATCTACCATTTGAACTCAAAACAGCAAGCTCTCACAAATCCTTCCAGAACTGTCTAAAAACTTTCCTGTTTAATCAAGCATATGATATGTAAATTATCTACCCTGTTCAGCGCCATTGAGCAGCTCAAAGTTGGAAAATAGGCGCTATACAAATTAATTATTATTATTATTATAAAATATGTATTTTATCTTCCGTTGCATTACATAAAGCAAGAATCAGACCCTTCATAATCACAAAAACCTTTTCTAATACATTGTATTCCTAGCCTGTTGTAACAGCTTTTAAAGATAAGCAGTGCTTTATGATATTTAATATTATTAAGATCAAAGATGTACAATTATGTAGTAAGTGATGACTTAATAATAGAATAAAACTGTAACAAGGTTTTGTTTGTAAGTTGTGCATGCCAGTCTTGCTTGGCACAATCAATTAATCTTTTCTTAAATAGCTTTAAAAATAAATCAATATTACCTACTCCCTGCTGTATCCAAACATGACCAAAACCATAAGTGCATAATAGTTGCATAACATTTGATGCCCAATTTGCATATTTTCTATGACACGTTTGTTTCAACATAAGATAAGATTGTTACGGGTATCTCTATGATGGCATTGCAATCAATCTCAACCAATATCTGATACAATTCGTATAACTGTTGACATACAAGGGATACCTCCCACATTCTCCGTACATAACAAAATTCAGGAAGGATTTGCTAAAATGATCGATGAATGATTTCTAGTTGATTCATTTCCCAATATCCCCATATTTCGCTCCCATACATCAAAATTGGTACAATCTTCATATCGAATATCTTAAATGAATCACAAATATTTATATCATATTTACTAAAAAGACTTTTTATAGGAAATAATGCTTTGTTTGTTTGTTGTGCTAAAATAGTACAAGCTCTTGTCCAAACAAGTTTAGGTGTCATCATAATACCCAGATACTTGCAGGCATTAACTACTTCAATGTCTGTACCTTTATATGTCCATTTATCAAATCTAGATAGCCGACCCCCCTTTCGAAAAACAATCATTTTAGTTTTGTCAGTATTAATCTCCATGCCCTATTTACAACAATAACTATAAAGAAAATCTAATTGTTTTTGCAACTTGAGAGGTGTATCAGCCACTAATAAGAGTAGCGATAAAATAGTAAACATGTCTTCCATTATAAATATTCCATGATCAAACATTTCACTCATAGATTGAGACAGTTCCTTAATAAATATCGAAAAAAGCAAGGGACTAAGAGCACACCCCTGTCTAACCCCTGTGAAACAACTGAAATAATCAGACATTTTCCTCCCTTCAATTACAACTGCTAATTTTATCTTGTTGTACAAGGTTTGGAGAACTTTAAATATGTTTCCATGTATACCATTTTTCAAAAGAAGATAGGGAAGCTTTTCCGATTTACCATGTCAAACGCCTTTTTAAACTCGACATATGCTCAATATAATTTACCCTGTTTTCTTGTTATATAGTCAATTGTCGAGTGGTGTTTCCTAAAACCACCTTGATATTCACAAATAAGGCCAGTCCTTTCGACATGTTCATCAATTCTGCTGTTAATTATAGTTGTAAATAGTTTGCTAATACTATTCAGCAATGAAATGCCCCTATAATTGCTAGGTTAATAAACATTTCCCTTCTTATGAATGGGAATGATTATTACTGAACTCCAGTCTTCCGGAAGTTAAATATCTCTGAAGAAAATGCAATATATTGTTATTTTGTGTAACATTCCATGCAAAACTTTGTGTTCTGGTGGTGTGACATACCTGCACATAAACGCTGGCAGTTCATGAAGTCCAGTATTGTGGAAGTTTATAAAGTAGGATTCCACAACAAACTACACATAGAAAGAAAAACTGGAAAGGATGATTAAAAATTGGATTTCTTTATATTCAGTGTCATTTTTAGGATGGTGTACAGATTTTGAAGAGGGAAACTTTACTGAGAATTGATGCAGATTAGCTGCTGAATATTTGCCTCTGTGTATGTTCAGATACATCCATGGAAACATGTTGTTTACAAGCCCAATCACCATTTCCAGATTCTCAAATAAGGTCAAATAAGTTATGCTGTGATTGATTTGTTTACATTAAGGTACAGACAAATAAGGTGAACAAAATATTTTCTGCTTTGTTTTTATTTACCATTCTTTTAATTCATTAAAAGACAGAAACACATGTTTTCAGATTAACTAAATTTGAACAACGGATAAATGAATAAAGGGCGCTATGTGCAGTGTTGACAATCTATTTATAGATACCGAAATGCTCTGCAACTTGAACATGTGGTTGTATTCACGTTTTTATAAAATTACGATCGAAATTTTTGGAAAAAAACAACAACAAACTTCAGTTACCCTTCCCCTGCTAATATCTTTGAATTGCCAGGTTGATTATTTGGTTCAAAAGAAAATAGGCTTGAGGAACCTACTCTAGCAGCTCACCGAGACGATGTAACTCATTTTCACTCGCCTCTTACAATCACTCAACAAAAATATATTAAATTGAAATACGTATATCATTCACAAATGACAGAAACCAAAGTACTACAAGCAGAATTCATCAACAATGTTCGCGATCACGTACGTTGCGACGGCGGTGATGCCATTGGGATTAGTCAGTGGTTGTCCCCACTAACGTCAAAAAGGACAGGTGATGGGGCGTGGGCGAAATTTCTGAAGAGCATGTTTGGTCTCTCAGCAGCTTGGATAGAGATTGGTTATTGGCTATATCCTTGACCAGTCGATATGCTGGGTTTCCGCTTTATCATCCCAATACTACCACACATTGTTAACTCATTAAGGCCGAGAGACGCATATATGGGGCAAATTAATCAGCTCCTCACAGCGAGTGACGTGTTTATGGGGCAGGTAATTAGCAGTTTCTCACAGCGAGAGCCACATACAGTCGTCAACAGAAAGCACCTCTTATTCAGCGAGAGACGCACATGTGTGTTGTACTTTTTAAAAATCACACTGTACCCATTATTTCAACCAATTTAGCAGTACTGAGCAAATGTTAGCTTTTCTTACGAGAGATCCCACCTTTAGTATCAATCAGAAGAAGTATTTAAAGTGTTTTGATAACAATTGCTAATCATTATCATAGTCTTGTACAGCGTTTAGCAAATGAACGCATGTTGGCGAGAAAGGGGATTATGATGTTTTACAGAGGTAAGTGCCTGGTACTCTTCCTTGGGAATGGATACTAAAATACTTCATGATGCACCTTGATTGAATTAGATGTAATGGTTTAGAGGTTACTAAAATTATATTTCCTTCAACTACCTAATAAATAGGAAACAATATACAAAATTTCAAGGACATACAAAGAATTCAAAGCACAATAGAATAGTTTGAATTTACTTTTAGGCATCATTACGTTGTCATGTTTCATATTCTGAAACATAATGTATAAACACAAGTAATTATACATCCAAGCTCGAATAGATTAAACATAATTGAACTTACTAATTTGAAGTTTACTGAATTGTAATAGTTGTTTTCCATAATCTAAAGTTCGTAATGTTACCTTAGCGAATATAAAGTGATAAGTCACGCCTTTGCATCAAATACATATATACATGTCAGTGTTATTACAACAATGAAATGTTTTACTACGTTTGTTACAAAAGACAGTAAGTTGGTAATTCAAAACATTGTCACACATGGACAGAAGTTTTCTATGCAATTTACATGAGCATTCTGTAAAACATTTGTATTTGATCTGTGTAATTATCAAATCCGGTGTAATTATCACGTGTATCAATCAACTCAGTCTCTATTGATCCATCGACAATAAAAGCTGGATAGTATATCAGTTACGGTATCGATACACATGCGTATAATCATTCAAGCAGATTACAGTAATGAGATAATTGAACGCCTCTTTCGACCTTGAAATAACAGCCTCCGGTAGAATGCATATGTAGTTACGCCCTTGTTGAAAGGTTTGTCCCGTGACAAGTGTAAAATAAACAGATGCGCCGTTATATCATTGGACATCTTGCTTTATGGAGTCATGCCCCTCTCTGTGATGTTTATACATGCATGCACATCTGTAATCTTATGAACCTCGTTTGCATTCAGTAAAGATATAGGCACGCCCACCTTCATAAATATTGGGGTGGGGGTGTCAACTGCAAGTTTATACACTATAATAATTCAGTATAGTGTCACCTCGCGGAATTCTGTAATGCGTGTACTCTAGTTTGGATAGTCATTCAGATCAAGGTGAAGATTATATTTACATTTACAGCAAACCATTATGTTTTATGTACTAGTTGTGTGCATAAAATGTATATGAAAATAAATACTACCTCTACTCAGTGGTTGGATTTCAATCGATTTGTTTTACTTATCGCAAAACACTAAAATGAGGACAAATAAACTCGACAAAGTGACTATCTACTCCTATTTGTCTTATAAGTATTTCATACATCGTTACCAGTGTGTATGTTTACAATACACAAACTGTTACATGATAGCTTGAGTTGATAAAGCCGAAACCCAGCATATCGACTGGTCAAGGATATAGCCAATAACCAATCTCTATCCAAGCTGCTGAGTGACCAAACATGCTCTTCAGAAATTTCACCCACACCCCATCACCTGTCCTTTCCTCTGTGACAGGTATCTCATGATACGATGTTACATCGCTTGAGTTAACATATGACCAGCCACTACATTGAACAGTTGAGATACCGAACGTTCTATTCGGAAATTTGATGACACCCCACTATCACGTTGACTCTTTGTTTTATGTCTATGCAAGGAATATGTAGTATACATTTTGTATATGTATGTTTGTATGGTCACGTATGTTTTCTGCATTAAATCTGTATGAAATAAAGTGCAATGCTATGAATGTGCTTTGTGCTAGTCACAGACTAGCATTATAGTACTTTCATTAAAATAATTTGTAAACACAAGAAATGTATTGGCAAAACCGCTATTTTCGTCGAAGATTAATAAGTATGAAAGTAAATTCTTCTTTACAGTATGTCATTGTCATAGATGTTTTGTAAATTTAAACCTCACACAATGATATAAGAGAGAGAATTTGTTAACGTGTCTCATCTGTTACATACAAAGAATACATGTGTATGCATATTGTGATAAAATATAAATGTACAAGCTGACAAAAGGTCTACAAGAGAAACTTGCAAGAAAATTACATAAAGCTTGCAATACACGACATGTATTCACACCTGATTTCTTTCAACATATATCTTTACGACACAATTAAACAATCAGGACTTGTTTGTACGACTAGACAGTTTCCTGTGATCCCCGAAACCTGCCAGGGAAATCAGGTGTGACTAGCACTAATTAGTCTCGGCACAGAGAGTGGGCAATCAGCGAGGGCTTCCAGGTGTTGAGTAGTGATGGGGCTCTCGGGCTTAATGAGTTAAAACAACAACTCCTCATCACCCCCTTTTAGGTAATAGGATAGCCCAGGAAGTGCACTTAACTGAAACAACAGATAATGAGATTTTAGTAGAGTAGAGTAGAGTAGAGATTTTAGTAGAGAAGAGAGCAGTTAGTTAAAAAATCTGAAATATATATAATATAAATTCGTGCATATTTCAAGTCGGCAAAAATTGTAAACTTTTTTTTCTTGTTTTACCTTGAAATGTTGTTGATTACATTCATAGTATTCTGAATATACAAAACATAAATTATGCAGGCTTAGCGTATATTTAATGTACATACAGTTTGCGAAATAGCCACTGGCCCGCTAGCCCGTGACTAGTAAAAGTCCAGTCGGGCCATTAAATCTCCACAGTCTTCATGTGGTCATTTTGTAAATAGAATAGAATAATACTTTAATGCCTTTTCAGGAATTTGTTTTACATCAGCTGAGCTACTGACACATCAGAGAGATACAAAACATATTTACATAAATTCATTGATTTAGGTATCTTCACATTTGTTTAAGAGATATGGTACTTGGAATAAAGGATGTACAGGCTCTCTTAGTTTTCACAATTGGAACTTTGTAGCGGCGGCCTGAAGGGAGGAGGTTGTATTCCGAACTTAAGTAGTGACTGCTTGATTCACGATTTGCTGCTCATATATTGATGATAAACATTCAAATCTGACTCCAGCGATTTTACTTGCAGTGTTAACAATTTTGTCTATTTTAGATTTGAGATGAACTGAGAGTGACCCGTACCAACAATGGAAGGAAAATGTTAAAATACTCTGAATAAATGCTGCATAAAAAGATGACATCACAGATGGGTTAACATTAAAAGATCTCATTTTACACATGAGATGAAGACGTTTGTTGACATTTTTTGTATAGGGCTTCAGTGTTAGTGTTCCAGTTCAGCTTAGAGTCAATGAAGGTTCCCAGATACATATACTCCGACACTGTCTCAATACATTCACCGTTGATTATCACTGGAAGCATTTCTGTGGGTTTACTCGGAAAGTCAATTATCAGTTCCTTTGTTCTTGTGACATTTAAGAGTAAGTGGTTTTCTGTACACCAAGTCGTGAAATGATTAATGTCCTCTTTATACAGTTCTTCAGAATCAGTGTCGGTCAGTTTGCCGGTAATTGCTGCATCATCTGCGAACTCTCTCCGATTTGTTAAGTTAAAATACACTTTTGAAATCATGCACGATATTGCCTGAAAATGTTCATCATATTAACAGCATAATGATGAAACCAGTGTCTACATTCAAATTTCGGGATAATGAAATATTTTGTGGGCTAGTAACTTTCAGGCATAGCTAGCCGGATTGGCTAGCAAAATTTGGAAACTATTTTGCACACTGTGTACATGTATATTAAAATATGTAGTTTTACAATATAACATTGCATTAATTGTTATGGTAGTGACACAATAACGGTCGTGACATTTTAAAATAATAGCCAGTTTTGTATGTTTACTTTAAATGATAATTTAATGAAATTTGTCAGTCAGGTATTTCAGAATGTTTAAAGAATATGTAATAGACAAAAGATTTACTTATGGATGTCCCTGTCATGTAAAAAAAATGCATGTTATGGCAATGACACTGATGGTATATAATGCTCCAACAAAAGTACAGTGACAGAGTAATGACTGTCAAATGTGCGGGTGAAATCTTGGACACTATAGGACATAAGTTCCATATAAATGTTCTACATAGACTGTGATATGTAACTAGAACAAATATGTATTTTTGTTAATCATGTTAATAACCTTGCCTCAATCAAATATATAATTTATTACTAAGTGATTGTTTGTGTTCATTTCTGGTTAATGGGTTAAACCATTACAGACTGAGGTATTCAGTATGCTAAAGTGTGTGCAGTCAACCAGAAATGTTGTTATAAGCTGTAGAAGTTTTGGGATGTGGAAGTTTAGGGAGGATACCTTTCAAACCTATCATTATTTCCAGATTCTGTTTTTCTTTACTTGCATAAACATTTTCTATCTGAACATTCTGAATGTTACATTTCAGGCCTGTTGAAACTATTGGACAACGCAGAAGACTCCAAAGTCCAACTGTTACTCAGCAATGTCAGAATACAGCAGATATGACGTCAACTATTAAGGTATATTTCATACATATTTAACGGCCTATTGTCTTGTTCCTGGTACTAAATGCTCTCTTGATTTTTAGTGCTTCAACTTATCCTGTTTTCTGTGGTTTTCTAAATGAAAAAAACAAACAAGTTTGCCTTAATATCTGCCCATTCTTATTCAATCACAACCCCCTTTATGTATGCATTTTATTTCCATTTTTATGTTGATGACATTGGCTAGTTTTTGTCCCCATTTATTTTAAAAGGTCCAGCATGAGAAACACATTTTCTATCCATGTCAGTGTTCAGCCAAAAAACCCAACTTTATGACATCAGGTAGGCTTTTGATACACTGCAAAACAACAACTGATTTGGACATTAAATGATTTTCTGACAAAATGATTAAGTGAAATAATAAATTTTTACTTGAATTTTCAACTGGACAGTCAGGCCAGAGCAAAAATCACAGGAAAAATAACTTACGTTTCAGTTAGGTTTCCGGACCGTTTCTCTACATTTCCTTCAGGTTTCCGGAAAACGGAAACTTACAAGTTACCCAGAAACCGGTATGGCTCCAGTGCGTTTCCGTTACGCAGATTGCTGAGGTTCCATTGGGTTTCCTTCCCTTATCCTCTACTTTCAGATGGTTTCATTAATTTACTTAATTCAATTATGTTTCCCTGTGATTTTCGTTTCTATTAATCACATTAACCATGTTCCATAGGTTTCAGTAAATCAGAATCTGTATGGCTCCATTTGTTTTCAATTATTAGTATTCAGTGATTACCATATGTCCATATTAAATTATGATTATTCAACTATATTAAAGGTCACATAAACCCTAGGGGGTACAAATACATAAATCACTAACTGGCATCGTTATAAATGAAACCCCGTCATTAAAACTACTCATTTCGACCTTTAATTGACTTAAATCGACCTTTTTGACAACAGTGCACAATTCTCACCCGCGAACGAAATTTCAACCAATCAGAGCGGCGCGCCTCTGTGACGTCATATGAGGAATAGCTTTGAGAACCGATGCAGAATTCATCTACATTTTAGGGGGTAAATTATCGTGTTTACAGGCTTGTATAAACCTGAAATCGTGACAATTGTTGTGGAAAATGAAAGCTATATGTTCTCACAATCTACTGTCATTTAATTTTGTCTCCTGCTTTGCCTAGTTTCCGAGAGTTACAACTTGTTTTCATAGACGATTCTGTCAAAATCGATTGGTGTCGTTAGGCCCTATTTGTATAATGACTGATCCAAATTGATCCCATTTCTGTGTTGTTTTACCTCGATATTTAATCATGTCATGTAAAAATCTGTTTGTATTCTCAAAACAGTGTCGGTCCATAAGTTTTCACATGCAATACAGCAATTAATACTCCCTCGTTGTAACCCGTGTTAGGTGGTATAAACCTACACATGTTATTTGTCATCATTCACTTGATGGTCAGTTAATGAATTTATAACAGGTATAATTAGTGGTAACACACTTAGATTACCCGACAAAGGTTCCCATTTTGCATTTCTTGTGTCTGGAGTAAATATTCAACATTATAAACATCTATCAAAGGATTAACCGATAACACGCTGATTGATTAATTACTTTTATCTTACACAGCCGGAATTGTCAAAAGGTAGTGTTTATGTATGTAGATTTACTAATCTATACTGAATACACTCTGTCGTGTCGGTGTTCGCGTAAAACAACGTCCTTCTTTCAAAGGATTAACCGGCAATACATTGATTGATTGCCCATTATTGGCTAACTAAATTACTGTTTTAAAGAAAGGCGGACATTATGCAATTAGTTGCCAGGTGTGCTATCTTGGGTGACCAATGAGACTATACACCAATACCTGAAAAGATTTATCACTTTTTCAGATATTAAACTGTTAAAAGACACATCATTTGGAACAGTTTTGTGGATATTGATGGATACATTCCTCGAACAAGGTAATGGCCTGATATTGTTCCTATAACTTTAATCTGTTTTAATTTTAATATTTGCATTTTGTTTTTATTCATTTGTCGTAGCATTCAACAGAATCATTGTTTTCGCCGTGAAGTGTAATGAGACAGACAACATGCACTAGGTGTGTGTGCGCGAATTATGATTCACATTGGCAAACTATAAAATGTCTAGATATTACAGTTCTGTTATAAATTCACTATAAGTATCAGCAGATCGTCTGCTTTTTATTTAGTTTCAAAATGCATACAAGTGTGATAATAAACTAATTAGGATTATAAGACCAAATATAAAGACGCACATTGACTAGTATCTACATACTGGTGAGTGGACATTAACCATGGGAATGTAGCAAGAAATCGCGCGAGTATTGTGACTTCGACCCCCACCTCGGCTTCCGTGGAAGAAATTGTTATGTTATAAGTTGTGTCATGCAAAATCCGTTTTGGTTATGATTCCAATACATATTTAACAACGAGTAGAAAGTAGTCTTGATTTTCTAACTTGATGAAGACAAACTATAATCTCATTAATTCTAACAGATTTTTTAATTTTTAAAAATGGCAGCGCCCTGTCGGGAACATCAGCCATTCTGAGAATAAATGGTATTTAGGTTTGTTTTCACCAAGTTACAAAAATCAAAACTACTTTCTACTGATAGTAAAATATGTATTTTATTGATGGCCAATAGGATTTTGCATGACATAGCGATATCATAACAATTTCTCTCATGGCAGCGAGGTGGGTGTCAATATAATACTACTGACAATATTATTGTTACTTCGACCACAACCTCACTTCCGAGGAAGAAATCGTTATGTTAATAGTTGTGTCATAGAAAATCTTTATGGTCATCAATCATATGCATATTTTACTACAACTAGTAAGTAGTTTTGATTCTTTAACTTCTGTGAAGCCGATCTGAACACAAGTAAGATATCGTTTCAGGCTTCCACAACGCCATTTCGCGACTCACAAACATAACCCATTTAGCACTTAACTCGCGGGTCCTGTGGAAATCTGTGCATGGGGACACCATCGCCCGACCCCTAGGAGCAATTGACGACAAAGCAACGATTCGGCATGTCGTCGTTGATGTCGAGAAATCATCAAAATGATGAGCGTGCTACATATTTTCTATACAACTAACTGAAAATCGTTCCTCATATGATGTCACTGCAGTGCTCTGGCGACAGAGTTACGTAACCTGTCTGTGGTTTCGTTGGCGGGAGAGGGAAGCAGGGACTTTTTGGCCACTTTTAATCGCTCGGTATTAATTAACCACAAGTTTTTAAAGAATAAATTTGGTGTTCCGCATAAGACTAACCACAAATCTTTCATATGTAATGGTTAAAAGAGTAACAAAAAACAAAGTTTAGTGGTTCTTTAACTGTAGTTGAAATGAGTGTATTATATATTTGAATGTATTATGTCATATATTTTATTCATAATACATTCAAATATAAAATAAACTCATTTCAACTACAGTTACCTCAACACCACATGGACATAGAAATAAATAAATCCAAAATCAGTCAGTCAGTCGATTTCTCTTTATTCATCATAAACATATCATGTGTATATTTCAATGTTACAATTATACATTGTCACAAATCACAAAATCCTGTCAGTTGATTTCTCCTTATTCATGAAAATGAAATTCTTGCATTGCAAAAGTTATGTCCAACATTTATTCTTGAGAGCGGCACTTTGTCCAATTAGATAATGGCATATTACGGTGATGGGTAATGACATGAGATAAGGAAAGTTATTCTATTACAGGTATATAGCGATGTGATAATATGAAGCACATCATGTCAGTTAAGTGACTCAGGGTATTTCAAACTGGTGTCAGGAAGTTTATAAACCGGTACAAATAATATTATATAATCCAGTTTCAGGAACTTACAGATCGGATTTTTGTTTCTTATAGCATCTTCCCTGCGTTTTTCTTCCTTTTCTGTAATCTGCCGATGACGATCGTCCATCTTGCTCCTCCAGATTATCCAAAAGGCTTCTATTAAGAAAAGCAAATGAGTTAATTTTGATTCGTCCAATAATAGATTATTACAATCCTACAAACATATATTATTTTGATCATTAGCATATTCACCATGTATCAAACCAAGTAATAAGTAATTGTGGTATATGCATTACTGAGAGGGTATGAGAAGTTTTCTTTTAACATGATCGACATGATTATGTAGAAATTATACACTACATAATGGTATGCTTTGTCAATTCTACTAGATAACTGACAGAATGAAATAATTAGATGCTAGATTTACCCAATTGTGAACAAGAAACGAGTTGATGACAATTTTAATTTTAGTTTGCATTTATGTGTTAATGACATGTCTATTCTTATAAAACTCAACATATATATTGATGAAGATGTCGAGCAATAATAAAACTTGGAGAAAGTTATTTTACCTTAAGTTAGTAACTTTGAATGGATTTTCAAGGGACTCCACCGACTTTTCCATGATTCTTCTCACAACAGCCTAAAACAAAATGAGACACACATTTGGGTCATATGTCGATATGGTAATATTTTCCACCTATAATTATCATGAATTACTTCTTTTATCTATATTTGTTGCCTTGCTGCATATAACCATATCAGACTCAACGTACAGGAACACAAAGGCATACTTTCTTATGGTTATATTTTAAAGGAATGTTCAGCTGGTATCAACAATAATGTAGTTTTTTTACATATTTCACACCAAAATGCAATGTCCACATTAATAACTGTGAGCGAAATCGAAATGCGAGCGCACCGTTACTGTAAGATAAAGGTTGCTACCGAAAACGTTTAATTCGATGCAAACTGACTGCTATGATAAGAAAATAATGAATTTCATCTGAAACCTACCTGACAAGGACGGGTACTGTCCTGGGTTTCGTTGAGATCGCTCAAGTTCCCGGATCCTTGGTTCCAAAGCTTCGATTGTCAAGTATGTTGCCATGTGTCAAGAAAACTGTAGCAAGTATACACACAGCAATTTCTACTACCTTACTCTCATAGACTTTACTTCAAAAC